CCAATGCACAGCAGAGTTTGTGGAGTGCTCTCTTTAATAGCTGGTTATTTCACTTGATACCAGCAGAGCAGAGTGACTGGCTTTGCAGGATTTCTACACGTCAAAGACTTCTCCGTGCCTAGCAGGGTCAGCTATTCCCAAACTACAGCTTGGTGGGCTACAGGAGATTTTTGGTGTTGGGCACACAGTGTAAGTAGCATGGTTTCTCACATCAGGGCACACAGGTGGTGTCCAAGGAGCTGCAGGCCAGGGACACACACCACAAGAACTGGGCCAGCCGAGAGAGTGGGCAGGGACCTTCAACAGTCCACAGAGAGGAGAGAAGCAGGGGAAAGCAGATCTGCAACAGCTGGTGTATGAACTACATAGGATCTGATTATTGCTTCGTGAGGGCCTTGCCCCCAGTGACACCAAACTGCAGGAACGGTCAGTGCTGAATAGTAATAATTGTCTAACTTCTGTACAGGCCTATATATACCCACTATATGGCCTGAAACCAAAAATCAGGCATTCAGCTTGGAGCCAGAGCAGCAAATATCAAATAGGGACCTCAGTTCCTCTCCCAAGTTGTGTGAGTTTTGATACTGACTTCAACAGCAGTAAGTTCTCGCTCTGAAAAGAAAGTCAAAGTAATATTTTAAATGGGAAGGGTCTGCAATACCCTTCACTGAACGTGTTGTTTTCTGTATCTTGTCTGTGGAACACTCTGGCAGTAAAAGGTGCTTTCGAAATGCTCGTTATGTTCCCCTGTCTATTCCAATAGACATTTCTGCTCCAAAAGATGCATATTCTTTATGTCTCTTATTTTCTGGGGCAGCCCGCCCCAGAGCCTGGATAGCCAACAAGCGCACAGCAGATTCAAAGAGGAAAACTTTGGTAGTGTTGCCCAGGGGACAGGGCACTAGGCTTGGAAGGATGAGACCAGAGAGAATTCTTAGTCCTTTGATCAATCCAGAAGTCACACTGTGACATTCAGAAAGCCACTTTGCCTCTCTGCATCTGTTTTCCATAATGTAATAGACATAATACTGTGGCCCATGCCTTTTTGTAAGGTATTCTGAGGTCTACTGAGAAAAAACATGAAAGACATGGTAGATAAACAGTATCACTATTCTCCCCAAGATCTTTCCTAAATGATCAGGAACAAAACCGCTTTTAAAAGGTGAAAGGCAGAGTCAAGACAGCTGGGGTTTAAAACCACTGTTCCAGATACAAATGATATCTACAATTCTGTGTGCAGCCCCTTGTCTGCTCCCTTCCCACCAAAGAAAGATACCCAGTTACCACATTCTGCACTTTTTCCCTTCTGCATCACTAACTAGACAGTGGCAGAGAAGAAGAAAAGCAGAGCCTGAAAGGAAGAGCAACAGTACAAGTGTCTAATATTGGTCTCCAGGCCCAAATGGAAACTGAAACACAGTCATTACCACGAGCATAGTTGTTTGCTCTCTGTATGTCTCGTCTCAGCTGGAGTACTCTCTCTTTCATCTCCGCAGTGCCCATATAGTTAGAATAATTCAGCTCGCCCTGCAGAGCCTGAAAAATCTTGGCCTAGAAAACAACAATAGAGAAAAGGAAGATAAGACCCCTCTACTCTGCTCTGCTGAGACCCCACCTGGAGCACTGCATCCAGCTCTGGAGCCCTCAGCATAAGAAAGACACGGACCTGTTGGAGCGGGTCCAGAGGAGGGCCACAAAAATGATCACGGGGATGGAACATCCCTCCTATGAAGAAAGGCTGAGAGAGTTGGGGCTGTTCAGCCTGGAGAAGAGAAGGCTTCGGGGAGACCTTATTGCAGCCCATCAGTACTTAAAGGGGGCTTATAAAAAAGATGGCGGCAAACTTTTTAGCAGCGCCTGTTGTGACGGGACAAGGGGGAATGGCTTTAAACTAAAGGGGGGGAGATTTAGACTAGATATAAGGAAGGGATTTTTTACGCTGAGGGTGGTGAAACACTGGCACAGGTTGCCCAGAGAGGTGGTGGATGCCCCATCCCTGAAAATATTCCAGGTCAGGTTGGACGGGGCTCTGAGCAACCTGATCTAGTTGAAGATGTCCCTGCCCACAGCAGGGGGGTTGGACTAGATGACCCTGAAAAGTCCCTTCCAACCCAGACTATTCTATGATTCTATAAGACACCGAGACTTCACTTCTGCAACGTAAGCCCACAGACACACCATCCCTCCAGCATCTCACACGCCAGCTGCAACGGCTGCTGTGTTGTATAGGGCTTCAGAGCTCCCACGCTTGCTGAGCACAGGGATACCTTGTATTGCAGGTACTCTGTTTCTGGTCTTGGAACAGAAATACAGACCGGCATGGCAGAAGATCTACACATACTGTTTGTATTCCCCGTAAGCTGGCAGTAAGTCAGTCCAAGCAATACTGGCTTGCTCTTAGATTCTGCTTTCCACAATGTTCCTCAAAGCCCTAAAGAGCGACTTTGCAACAGCACAACCCCTTCAACCCTCCCTGCCTCTGCCATTGCCTAGGGTCTGCCGCTTCACATTATGTGAGAAGATTCCCTATATATTGGGCTCACTCAGGGGACTGTTTAAATCTAGTTAGGTCTTTCGCACTGCTAAAGCAGCACGTAAATGAGAAGCATGATCAAGGGACCAAACATAAGTGCAGGCTTATAAAAATCTGTATGGAGCAAGACAGATATAGAATGAATTGGTGCCTTCACCTAGCCATTGATTTTAACTAGGGAATGCTAGCATGCCCCAGATGCTGGATGACAGAAGTAGATATACTACTCACCTCACATCTAGAGAGTTTCTACTACAGGGAAAATTTATACCAACAATTTCTGAAATGCTTCCAACTGCACCCCAGCTCTCTTCCCTGCTTGTGATGATATAGCTCAGAAGTACAATGTTTTTTCTAGATAGTGATGGCATTTTACTTTTTTCTCTGCAATGGCATTTATCATTTATCACTACAAAGGGATTTCAGTAACATTTACATTTACTTAGTACCTTTACTGCTCTACAAACAATAATTTCAGAATCAAAGCTAGTGTGTGAGGACAGGAGACCTCATCTTGCACTTCCAGCCCTAGGAATGATTCATCTTAGCCATATGACGGGAGCGCATCAGGATCCTCAGGATTTCTGTGGAGGACCCCAAGAGCTCAATGTTTCCAGAAAATTCATGTACACAAGCACCCAAGGAAAAATAGGCAACAAATATTAGTACAAAACTAGGACTCAATCTGCCTTCAGATGGAGTATCCGGCTGAGACACACACACTCTTTTCTTTTTTTTAAAAAAAGAAAAACACAATTCACCATCCTATCTCATTATAATCCTAATACCCTCAAAGATCCAGTGACCTTCACTAGGAAGGCATTGCAAGTACCTTCAAATAAGATATCAAGCCAGCTTCTTCCTTCTCCATCTGTTTCTGCTTTCTCAGAGCCCTCTCGCAGATCCTTGGGTTCTGCTCCATGTTTGAGTACAGTTCACTCAGGCATTGCTGAGTGTAGGACAAAGACTGCTCCTCGAAGTCCTCTAAGGAAATCAGCTTGCAAAATGATATACTGAGGGGATACTCGTCGTCAAACTCATCCAAGATCTCCATTCTGTACCTGATCAAAGATGACATGGCAGGCTGTATGCTCTCCTCCAGCTGGTGGAGGCAAGAGAGCTATTGTCTGGTGATGAACCAGGGCCTTCCTCCTGCCCTGTCAGCAAACAGGGACATGTGCAGGCCCTACCACAGGAGCTCACCAACACCCTCCCGAGAGCCTCTGCCAGTAAAACTGCCTCTGTAGGGTGACAGCACCAAGTCTGGGCGGAAGCTTGGTGCAGGGCCTTGTCAGGACAGGAAAACCGGGGCAGATACTGTCCCCTCAGAGGGGCTCCCTGCCCTCCCCTGACTTCCAGGCCAACGTTACCTCTTCCCCTACAGCTCCGGACCAGGAACAGTGCTAGGCAGGAGGCAGCCTCCCCAGGGTAAGCACATACGGGTCTCGGAGCAACGAACACCCAAACGGCTCAAGCCCCTCACGCGGCCATGCCCCGAGGGATACGCACCCACAAGAGGGGCAGCCGCGCCTTAGCCAACGTGTGGGCAGCCCGAGGAGCAGCGCCTCCCC